CTGTAAAACAAAGAATAGGGCTAAAACATCAGCAGACCCAAGTTAATAAAGAATGAAATCTGCACCATCTACAAATCAATAGCAGCACTGTGTTCAAGGTAGAAAGATGAAATCAAAAGATTTTCCAAAGAGCTCAGCTCAATCCGTGACTAAGCCTCCCCTCTGGGTGCCTCCCATACTGTACTGTATACAGTATGTCGAGCTTTGATTTGCATGGCAGGTACATTTTCAGATTGTGACTTCTAATCCCAGAGGGCAACTGGCAAAGGTAACTTGTCTGGGACTGCCTAGTAATTTCAGAGCTGTAAGGAAAAAAGAATGTTCATTAGCGTTTACCTGGGACACATTCTGCTACGCCCAGCTGCGTTTAATCAGCACCTGGGAAGTCTGCCTTTATTCTCCATAAGCTGTTAAATACCCTGGTTTACCCCAACACAGAGAAGCTAGGTGTCAGAAAGACGACTGGTGTTTTGATCCTTGGCATTTGTCTGCTTCAGGAACTAAAAGAAAGGGACCCCTACCGAGACAGCAGAAGTCTGAAGGCTGCTCTGCCTCGCTACTTAAGCCGGGGATACTGTGTTCAAAAGAACTGCAAAGTTGTACGATTAACAGTTGAAAGGAGTCCGAATTTTATGCTTATTTAAAACCTTGCTTTATAAATATAGGCAGAAATGCCACAGAGAGAGAGAAACAAAGTAATGAGAGAGAAAAGTTCCCACAACCCAAAGAGTTTCTTTGAAATCAATACAAACCATGCTGGCTGGTACACACACACACACACATGTTCCTCAGTATAATTTAAATACACTCTATCTGCAGAAAAACAGCAGAGGGATACTTCAATTTTATGGGGGTAGAATATTAAATTCCACTATAACAGGCTTTTGTTTTAAATAACCATTAACTTTTATATACAGACCTTAAACCAAAATAGCTGCTTTAAGACAGACATACCAGTGAAACTGGAAACTGTAAATTGGACAATCAAAAAGAGCATGTGTGTTATATTTAGCTCATGCACAATATATACTGTTAACATTACCCTACAAGTAACACGCCCATCTTAAGACACCCAATTTCATCAGCTGAAATGATCAAGACTTTGAAATTACTGTAACATGCTTTCACATTTTCCGATGTGAAGCAATTTAAACTTCAAATGGATTATAGGAAAAACAGTTTTAACAACCTCTCTGTGGGATCCTTTAACTTCTAAGGCATGGTACAATAGGGTGAAATTATAAAAATAAGGAAACGCATTTATTTTAATTGAACGCAGTATACTTTTCACTGTTTTTGAGGGGTTCTAACAATTATGGTTTTGTATTAAATGAGAATAAAAATTACCACTTGGTGTTTAGTGTCTGATCACTGTTAGCTGTTTTTAACTTGGAATTGCACCTTTGAAATGTAAAATCAAAGGAAAGACTGTGCAGTTCTACTGTACCTTCTATCTACAGATGATCAGATGATCCCAGACCTCTGCCAGCGAAGAGGTGCAGAGACATGATGGTAACAAGACAGAAATAGAATAGCTCTCTCACATTTGCCTGTTAAACTGCCTGACCCCCCCCTTAACATGTCTGACCTGGATGTTTTAGTGGATAGTCTCCAGGAAGCCTAAAGGCTGATGCTCTTAAACCCCCTCGAGAGGCTTCTAACTTCAGAGCTGAGATCTGAGCTCACTGGCTGATGAGCAAGGCCTCATCGAAGTAACTATCTGAACACGAATTCAGGGATTAACAGGGAGGCACTGTGTAAAAACACTAACATAACTATCAGATGCCTCAGGGACACAGTCTAGAAAGCCTAGTCATGTGTGTGTATGATTTCTTTTGTGCTGAACTGAATGCTACAGCATGCAACAGCCAAGCCAACCAAGACAATTTGTAGGTCAGATACAAGATAAATGGAAAAAAGAAAACTCTCAGTCTTCTAACAATGTGCTAGATGACTTTCAAAGGCCATATGATCTAAAACTGCCAGGCATTAAATTGTGCTCTTTCTTCTTACTAATGTACCATTTAAAAAAAAAAACACATCAGGACAAAACCACAAATATAACCAAAACTCTAAAACCTGAATAAAAAAAATTATCACGCTGCACGAAATAAAAAAAGCCAACTTGCTAAATCAGTGACAAATCTTTCTGTAAAGAAAAGGGAAACTCTGCTTTTATATACTTTAAGAAGCACCAATCTTCCTCTTTAAATTACATGCACTTAAGGAGATTACAAAAATTAACTGTCCAGTACCCACAAGTAATGCTTAGACTAACTGCTTGTCCACACACTCTGTAACCTGTTTAAAAATGGCTCCACATTTAATTTCCATTTGCACTTCAGCTGAGCTTGTTATAAGCAAGTGCGTATACAGACAAGCCTTCCTCTGAAACAGAGAATAGTTCAGATGAAACTGTATGTCCTCTTCCTTACTATATATACCCACTATTGACTAAACAAATTAGTACAATTCTTGTTTTAGTACAATAATACTTAATCACAGCTAACAATTACTTAAATTCATAGGCATGCATCATCAGAATTGTTGTAGCAGGCAAAAGGTCCAGATATATTGTCAGCAACTAATCATTCTTGTAAAAGCAGCACTTAAAACAAGCAGGCTGGAACGGGACGGATTTTAATCTTTACAGTAATTTGTGGATGGCAAAATTAGGAATGCACCACAAGAAGAACATGCCAGTTATGTTAAACACCTTTTCCTTAAAGGCCTTAAAAGGTTACTATCTGAACGGCACTCCATTAACAAACCTGACAGCTGGCTTTCATTGAGCACACAGCAGCCAGTGGTATCCCTATCGTTACTACAGTACCTCTGCTATTGCCCTAGTGACCCAGCAATCCAATCAGACTGACACAGTCCAGAAAGCTCTTAGCATTGCTATAGCTGAATCCTGAGTACCTTCAGAGTCTCACTGTCTAGCAACCCCACCGATCCGATTTATCAGAAATGATGACACATACTTCAGATGCTTAGCCTTAGCACTCTTCCCCGGCGTTATGTTTGCAGAAAGAAATCCAGCCCTGATTTCAGTAACTCATCCGGGCAGACAATGTAGCAATGCTTTTCAGGTTAACATGTATTGTGTTTTTAATAAGGGACGTGTTGTCAAGAGCCTGTAGTTGCTGTGAATGTTAGTTGGCTCCTGGTGAATCGCAATGCTTCGTCTTAGCCGTCACAGGCCTGGAGGGAGCTCCCAGAAGACACGTATACATGTCTGCATCACCAGCAAAAGCTGGCTATGACATGCTGATACAGGCTGCATTCTCTCCTAAACACTGAGCGGTTGCATTACAGATTGCAAACAACATAGGTGGAAAACTTTATAAAATGATTTTTAAGGAATCAAGGATACGCACCACATAAAAGCTGAGAACATGCTTACATAGCTGCAGTGTAGTTAATGTTCAATTTTAGTTCCTTTGTCCACTCAAGAAAAAAAATGTCCCCCCCAAAAAACTAAGAAAGCTGTAGATTAACACAAGTGCCCTCAGCCAGAGGCAGGACAGTTTATACTGTACATACATTGTTTCGATTAATAAAAAGGAGAACGCAGTTGGACACCAAATCGGTGATTTAGAAGCTTGACCGACTCATCACAAAACGTGACAATGTTCTGAGAACGGAAGGAAGGAGAAAAGGAGGACGGAACAGGCTGCGGACTGAACTGTTAAGATTTAATTGCCAATCATGAGCATCTCCACAGAAAACCGTACTGGCACAAGGCTGCCAAGCATATTGTTTGTGCTTTGTCCTTCTGTAACTGCCGAGTCAACAGAACACACTGCACTGGTGGAAATAAACCCGCACACTGTATGCAGAACAAACAAAGCTGTACTGTGCTTTATGAAATAGCAGCAGGGTCAGAGTGCCAATAGGCATCCAGCCACCAGCCCGGGCTCAGATCACAGCAGGCAGGCAACCTACCTGACAGCCTGCCCTGCTTCACGCACATATGGGAATACTGAGAGCACACCACCCAGGGACAGACTATCCTTCTGTGCTGAACAGCCCCTTGTAAACCCAATACACTTGGGCAATATACAGGGCATGGGTGTTAATCCACTGTCTAAAACATCAACCTGAAAAGTATCTTATATGACATTAGAGACATTATGTGACTTCAAAGATTATACTATATGACTAGGCAGAAGAATTAAGGGCACCTTCAAATTTGCATGAACACACAATTATTTAAGAAATCACATTAAAATTCTAAACAAATTCTAGAAACAGGTGAGAACCGTGATATATTATACGCTTCTTATCAAAATCTGGCCACTGGATACCTTTAATTAAAACATGATATCTAGTTAGGCAGCAGAGTTCTTTTAGTCTTTAATATAATTCCTAGGAAACCCTTCATCAGTCAAAACAAATGTTAAGACAAAAAGTTAAACTGGCCTCGAAAAGTTAGATTTGTTAAACCACATGTTTTTCTTGGGTGGGATTCAAAGTATGAACTACACTTACACTACAAATAAAAGTGGTTTTCAAAAGCAGTTAAAGCTTTAAATTAAACAATTTATCAATGATAAAAAAACTGCTAACATAGGATTTAAAGGAAGGCTCGAAGGTTAAGAAATTAGTCATGTGACACAGAGAAGGAAACAAGTCCCAAATACACACCTACCACAGGAATGCACCGAGTTACCAGAAGCACCAAGTCCAGTCATCTCCACCGCACCTGCAGGAACTTTTAATAGCATCCAGAAAAGAAAAACTTCGAAGAGAAATCACACCTTGGCTACATCCTTACAGATCCTATTACACTGCTGAACACGATCTGTGGTCCTACTTTAAAAAACGGGATTCCTAACTTAATATTTTCGCTGATCTTCGTTTAAATATTCCGAGCCCAAATCCAGGAAAGACACACTGCACTGCCCATGCACTTGAGCGCAGGATTGGGTCTATTAAGAGTGTTCACGTACGTCGAGACTTGAAAGCAACACCTGCACAGCGGTTCAGCCTCTCACCTGAGCAAAGTATGCCTTTGTGCCGGGCGCAGGAGAAGTCATCACACTCGCAGAAGGTGCCATAGATCTTCCCAAAGGCGCTGTTGTAGCAGAGGCACTGGTTGCAGCTACATTCTCCCCTGCCGCTGCAGATCTGCTTCCCCTTGGCTTCTCGGCACATGGTCTGGTGCAGGTGAGCCGCCCCCCCCTCCTGGCACTCGCACTGCGCCCCCAGGTACCCGGGCTCGCACCTGCAGGTGCCGCACGCGTAGGTGCCGGCGCCGCTGCACCTGCTGCTGTTGGTCTCCGTGAGGCCCGTGCAGCCACAGGAGCAGCTGTAGTCCACGGTCAGCTCCAGCGTGTCCTTGAAGCCCACGGGCTTGATGGTGAACCTCCGCTGGGCCTCCGCGGCAGGGCAGCCTCGCGCGTCCACCGTCACGTTGAAAGACACCTGGCGACGCACGGACACGGACACGGACACGGTCAGCTGGAGAGCTCCTGACCCGCTCGATACTCATCCTTGATTTAGCACAAAGGCAGCTCTGAGGGATGCCGGGCTTGGATCACACGGTCCCGACTTCTTTCTCACATACACTTTCAGAACCGGGAGAGCAGAGGCTCTTTTAAAATGCGCATGCCTATGTCTAGGGATCCCAGTGCTTCTGTTAAAACAGATGTAAAAAACACTGAGAAAGACGACTGCTTAAAGACCGCAAGGAAAGTTAATTTCACAACTAATTAATTTCTAACTTCGTTATTTAGAAAGGGAGGCATTTTCACGTTTGTTTCATAACAGCTTACCACAAATTAATAGCTCCATACATATTTTGCCAAAAATCCTCACGGCTGCAAAATACACGGCATACAAAAGTTGCCTTCACAAATTCATAAAAATATCTACCATCTGGTTGCAATTACACATTGCAATTCCAGACAATCTTCAAAATAACAAACGTGAATTCAGTCTAAACCACTATCCTGAGCTGCTATAATTAGCATTTGATATTTCCTACATAAACAGCTCAGGCTTTCAAAGCCGAAAAGCAATGATTAGGCACAAATATATATGTATGTCTTTATTATTTCTGCAAAAAGCCTGGCTACTCTCCCCCTTAAAGAAGCTAATTCAGCAGCTGAAAAATAAGAGGGATATAAAAAAAATTACTATATATATATTACTATGTACTGTATACTGTATGCATTGTACCTTCGTCACTACCAGTGAATTAATCAAGTGCTCATTTTAGGTAGACTTGGTTATATGGTACACAACTACAGTACATGTGTTAAGAGGAGTTGTGAGAATAGACATCATTAAGGTCTTAAAGAATGACATTTCATCAGTTGAGGATTCCAAGGCTTAATCTCTATAGTATTCCATACCTTGAACTCTATTATTTTACATTTTGTATTGTTTCAGTGTTGCATCACAAAGAACCAGAAATGGATAATTATAACTTAGGGTATATTTCAATAATTATTTCAAATGTACCCTAAACTGAAAACAGAGCAATTTTCCATATCTCCTTAAGCGGGATGTAAGCCTTTAACCATGGGAAATGTTAAATTCTCCTAAGCACACTGCAAGAAAACGGCCTTATCAAATGTTTTTTTTATGATCCCCACGTCTTTCCTGAAACATCCCTTAGGAAGCTTCAGAGGATCATCACATTCATAACAGACCTAGAAAACTTAACTCCAATATAATAGTGGAAATTGAACATTCCGCTGTAAATTAGAAAGAAAATAACAGCTGTTGTTCCAACTTCCCTTTCAAATAAGATCAGGTAATCCTACAAGTTTCTAGAAGGACCCCCCAGGGAAGAGAGTGATCTGGAAAGCACATACCGAGCTCCGGATGTCTCAATGCATTATGAAGCAAAATACGTGACCCATCTTTAAAGTTGAGCTTCAAGTTTTTGAACTGACAGCCACACTAGGCACTGAAGCGGTGCAGTATTGATATTGGCAGCTCTCAGCATCAGACATGTCCATTTTAGATTTCGGAAATAGAATTAAGAAACCGCTTCTGACACAATGCTTATTGTCTCTTCTGCATGGCACAATTCTGTCCTCTAAACAGAAGAGGACAGAAATGATAGAAACTTGCTGGGATTTTTTCCCCAGTAATAAAGAATTATGGGTGACAATTAAGGACATAAGGTATGCTTAAGTAGAATTCCACATTTGTATTGGTTGTATACAAGTTATTGCAATAAAACTCAACTTTTAATGCTTTAGTGTACTTAATCAGAATTAAAGTCGGCTCAAATCACTTGATTTTAAGTGATAAACATTTTGCCAACTTAAATGTACACAATTTTAGTAAAGAGATCTTTACTAGGTTTGGAAAAAAGTTTACCTAATGATGGTATTTTTTCTGAAAAAATATTTACCAAACCTTAAACCTTTGCAGCAGCAATATTAATTTCAAAAGGTGAAAAACATCTTAACTTACTGTGTTCTTTAGCTCACACACACACACATATATTACATCACCAGCCTGCATCCACAGATATTTAGGCAAGTTACATGATACTTGATGGGAAGACTCGTCCCAATGGATAATATATACAAACAGAAAAAGTAAAAGAACATGACTGAAATGTGCACCGCCATTAACTAAGCCCAGGTCACAAGAGGCCTAATGTCAATGGGCGAAAGAGATTACCCTTTTAATCCTGCAACTTGGCAACAAAGGAATGTTTCAATGTTAAATTCTTAACAAGGTAGTGACAGAATTGGATTGAGAAACCATGTGAGCCATACTGCAGCCAGTTTAAAACGGTACGCTCAGCCCTTGTTGGAGAGGAAGGGAGGCCCAAGCCATCAGGCTAGGGAGGAAGTGACCTGCAGCTGGCTCTGGCAGGGCCACCTCCAGAGAGCACAATACAGGGCAGTGCCTTCGACTGGACTGCAGACATGTGGTCCAGGGTGCGAGAACCGCCCAGCTCTGCGATTAAGGCCTCAAGAAATCAACTCTTGCCTGGGCCAGCATAATCACAGGCCGAAATTTTGATGCAGATTCAGATTACTGAAGCACGAATTGCATTTTGAGCCTTTGGAGTTTTTTTACTTTTCCCACTTAAAGACATGAGAGCTGTAGGACGGTTTCAGATTATTTTTTTAATCATCTCTAGAGGCTATAAAATGTGTTTCGGGGCCAGGAAACCCTAAGCTGCCAGACAAAGAATGCTTTGCTCGGACAATTCTGCAAAACGACAGCATCTTTCCAGTTTGTACAGCAGACATTTAAAATAGCTCTTAGATACCAATTTAAAGACGGATAACATGTTTGGGTGAGGAAGGTTTTGCGAATAAAAAAAAAACGGAGTCTTATTTTATGTCGCATTTGCTTAGAAGCATGTTTTTTCTCCTTTTCTTCAAAACAATGAAGCCTCAGTTCATGTCAATTCTCCTTACTAAGACAACACAGCAAGACTGTTCTATTTCTCTCGGGCTAAACCTAGGTTTCAGCCAACTGTTATCCTATTTAGCACATGTAAAGGCTAGATTGACACAGACACCATGTGATTTATTTTTCTCCCTTTTCTGGGCAGGACAAAAGCTGCCAGGAGAAAGATGGGTTTAGCTGATCCATTTAGGTCTCCACACCAATCTTATCCCACTACGAAAGCAGCAATGAGACTGGAAAGGGTTTCAAAAGGTCATGTCCATGCTATTTTGTTTTTGAATGCAGTGGTTCCTAAACACACCAGCACAGACGGAGGACAATTTTAAAACCGCAAATACGCAAGAAAGATGAAAACACACACACCTAAAAACAGTACAACAGGGGTCCCCCACCTAGAATTTAGCAAAACAATAGTCAAAGCAAATGTACAAAACATGGCTTTAGGTTTATTAACTGATATGGCAAAAGAAAATGTAATTAAACACCTACTTGGAAAAGTAAAAATATAGAGTACTAATAGTGAAAAGTATTTTCTCTACCATTGTGATTTGGGTCACTTTTTACTCCCTACTGCCCTTGAAACCCTCACAATGACATTCATGGTAAATCAATTTATCAGTCAGTGGTGCGATTATTCTAATTTAAATTACAGACCCAACAGATGAATGATTCTTGTCTACCATTTACCATGAAAGAATAAGCAAACAGATGAAGAGAAGCCTGTACTTTACACGATGCTCTGGAACGAAAAGCACCACATTAACACGATTTGTCATTACTTTGTCCATTATAAGAATACTTTCCCTGCCCTAACACATTAAAAATAATCCTAATAAAAAATGCCAGACAACACATTTGATTATGGGAGACTGGAATATAAAATGAGTCTAAACAACTCACGGCCATGGAAAACAGCAGCCTAGAGGCACAGCTTCATGGAGACAGGCTGGATTTGTGTGGTTTCTTTTTGAGGACATAACATCTTGGGACTCAAGGACAGAAGGCTTCAGCCCTGTTCACTGGGGAACCTGATGTTTTCCCATCCGTGGGAGCACAGTGGAAACAGATGGAAAATTATTTCAAGTAAAATAAAAGCAAGGACAGACAAGAGCACAGCAACCGTGCAGTCTTCCCTCCTTCACCTTGGAAACAAGGTCCATAGGTACTGGAACCCTTCCCTATCATCCATACCTGGGAGCCAGGGATAATGAGCTACCCTACTGTGATGCTGCTGGAGTCTTTTAACAAAGCTCCCACTTTACCTCTAGGGCAAATCAATGTTCGGTCACCCTCTGTGGTCATTAAACTCTGGATAAAGGCCGAAAAAGACGAGGCAGCAGGGATAAGCGATTGAAACGGGGTTTCCTGCAGGGTGCAGTTCAGTGACCCAGGACAGCCTCGGAGCTGAAACCCCGCACGTCAGGACGGAGAGGAGCACGTGCAGGCGGTTCAGGCATCCGATAAGGATCCCCCACCGGGAGGCTTCCGTTGCCGCCTGCTCCACAGAGGTCATGTGGTCATCCCGGGAAACGCTGGAGAGGTCTCATCTCCCGGCTGGCCTGGGAGTCCCGCGGGGCGCTCTGGAACGCGTTACAGCGAAACGGTTCACGCAGCCTTCCCCAGCACCCTGCCGCGCGACTTGACCAGGGGACGCGGCACAGCCGAAACAGGGGGGATAAACTAAGAGCACTGCGAGCTAATTATTTGTTATCTGTACATAAAAGAGGAAACACAAAGCAAATAGGGTAGAAGACCCGGATGGCTAACACCATTTCTCATCTTTTTACACAATTTGTGCTTTACGGGTACAACGCCCATTACAAAGGAGACCATTTCGTATTTGCAGAGACGGGACTTTGCAAGGAATTTACTAGGGACAGGTGACCTGTCGAAGTCAGCAGGCCGTTGACCGAAGCCCACACTCTTCCGCTGGCCTTCGCACGGAGGAATTCACTAGGGACAGGTGTCCTTCGCATGGAGGAATTCACTAGGGACAGGTGTCCTTCGCACTGAGCCAATCTTGTGCCCAGGTGGGCACATGGCAGCAGGATTAAGGAATGAGTGAACACACACACAAGTTTCTGGACACTACTTAGCCCTTTTGTAAATGGGGAAGATGTGGACTGGTACCAACTAAAAATAAAATTCTCCTTTTTTAGATGTGAAGATCAGAGCAATGTAAAGAATTAACCATTTAAGTATATCTATGGACAACAAAGCAGCAACAAAATTAGTTTAGAAAAAAAACTAAGAAAACTAAACTGACAACTGGTAAACATTAAGAACCGTCCACATGGATTGTGAAACAGTCCTACCACCACTTCTTTCCTGGCAGGCAGCCCATAAATTCCATACGATCATCACATCGCCCAGGGGAGTGTTAGTCCAAATGGCTTATTCAGCAGTTATTAAGATTTCGGTTTGGTGTGCGTGTATTTTCAAGATGTCCTCCTGGCTCTGGCAGCTCTGATTTAATTAAACAGGAACCAAACACTTTAGAGAACAGAAGGATTGTAATGCGTCTTTTGATGACGCTGCCAAGACACTGCTATGATTTACTCAGCTATTTTGAGTACTTCAGCTCGTGCATGAGCTGATGAATTACACAAGGCTTCATCTGCATCGGTTTCAGCCACCACTAAAGGCAGGAGTCAAAAAGAAATCAGTTCAGAAACATGTCGTATAAGAAAGCATTAGCAGGATAATCCCAATGACCATGCTTACACAGCTATGTTATTAGGAAATGCTCGTGGGGGGGGGGGGCTGTAAATTATTCTCTGAGCGCTCTGGGACATTGTGGCAATGCTGCAGGAACAGCAGCAGTGTGGTCTAGTGGAGAGCAGAAAGGCAAAAGGCAAACCAACAGACCAGCGAGACTCAACCACTGAAGCACACAGGGCGGACTGACACCGTCCCGCAGTGAATACAGCAAGACTGCTCTACCTTGATTCTCCTGAAAGAGTTCACAATGGTTACGGAGAAAGGATTTCTAACCTAAACTGAAGGCACCGCACTAAAACCCGTCCCAAAACGTTTGCCGAAATCATTCGTGAAAAATTGACACTAAAACACTGTCTCGGTTAAAACCTGTTCTGTTGATGAGTTCTGAGTCGTTTGCAACTTTACAAAAAAAACAATCCAGCTGCACTTACTGTGTCTCCAATCTTGAGGTCAGCACATTTCCGGAGGCCGGGCAAGGGCTGGCCGTCCTGACAGGTCGCAGTGAACGCCAGACTGATGTCTTCTGGGTGATCCCAGACGGTCAGCTCCACTTTCGACCGGATGTTCTGGAAAGGAAAAGATCTATTCACACTCTGCTAGCTAGAGGAATAAAAGCCTGCTTTTGCCATGTGTGCATAATCACAATAGTATGAGCATTGAGCACATGTTTTAAAGCAGAATACAGTATCTAAGTTTTACACCTGTCTTTCACTCATAAAAACACAACAGAGCAGATGGGAACAATGGAGCGATTTAAGGGAAAAAGCTATCACAATCATATTCCACGGCACTAAAAGTGTACTACGTGCTAACAGCTCTGCAAGGTGATTTTAATTATTCAATTTTCAGACTGGGGAGCAATTAAATCACACAAGCGAAGATAAGCATTTAAAGCTTTGAATTCTTCTCAAATCCCACAAATAATTGGCCTGCTGGTTAATGTTTTACAAGAGTTCAGAAGTAAAATGAGACTTATACAAATACACCTATAGAAGGGGGGTCCGTCATAGTTCTAGTCTGAATCCTTTCAAAAGCTTGATAAAAACCATGATTGAAAGGTCCACTGTTTAGCTCCAAAACAAAAGACTGTCTCATATTTCCTAACAAAAGAAATGTAGTTTGAAGTGAAAACATGCACAGGGTTTTGATCCAAAACCTGAGATCAACTCCCAGTCCCAGTGTTGATCTCTTGAACCCAGTTAGAAAGTTCTCTACTGGACATTCATTTTTCTTGATGGGGGATTTAATTGAAACACAGACCAGTTTTTTGCACACCTTTCCTGTGTTGACCCTTTGTAGAAGTTTACAATTTAAGTCTTACGTCATGTGAAGTAGGGTAGCAATCTACTGTACGGCAATGAAACACGGCAACATACAGGGCAATTATGCTATGGGTTTAATTGGAAATCTCCAGAGCAAAACATAAGTGTAAAACTTCCTTCCTGTACAGATCTCCAACAGAAACACTCGGCATTCCAAAGCATTCCATTTTAAAGACGGCAAAAACAGTAAAAGAGAATTTAAATAAACAGCATAGCCGCCAAGATAAACCTGCCTTGCACTTTCAATTTTAATTCAAAAGCACAGATTCAAGTTTCAGAGCAAAACTGTACAATGTTTGAACAGATGCACATTTATGCCTAGTTCCCTGTGTTTTGTGGTTTAAATCCCAAGTTCATCACAGGAATGTAAGAAAGTTAAGCGGCAATTGGAGTCCAAAAAATATTATTTAAAATATATTTATATTATTAGCAAAATCAATACAAAGCATAAATCAGAAGATGCCAGAAAAATGAAAATTCAACTTAACACTCTTTTAGACACAGCTGACCAAAGCTTTTTTATGCTTTTGTTTTACAGGGAAAGAGAGAAGAAAAAGACAGCCTAGCCTTTTGAGGACAAAGCCTTCAGTCAACACCCATCGCCCGACCCACAAAGCACACTCCCTCTCTCACCCTGGCAAATGCCCACAAAACACTGGCTCTGTCCTTCACATGCACAGCCAGAACAGCCTGTGGCAAATTCAGCCCCAATTCCCACAGAGAAAGCTGGTATCTTATCAAATAGTGTAAAAGAAACAACTACTGCCTGTTCTTTGTTCACTTCATTTTTGTCAAAGTAGCAACATTCCACATTCCAAGTCTGGTGAGATTCTCATGTCCACCCCAGCCAGCAATACAAAGAAGGTCATATTTACATTCCTGGGAGAGCGGTACTTACATTGTAAGCATTAATGATCAGTTGTATAATGTTCTTTGAGTCCATGTCGAGGATTTCAACAGTTGTACCTGGTATCAGTGCAGTGAAATTCTAAAAATATGAAGATATAGGTGATATTTAAGTTAATATCTACAACAAAGAGACACTGTTACACATGCAGAAAAAACACCATTAACAAGTACATAACCTAAAATGCTCATTTAAAAAGGAAACAAAAGGAAAAAGAGCCTTGTAATAAAGCAGGTTTCCGTTTTAAACCGGACAGCATCTTTCCGTCCTCTTTTGGCCAACACAACAGAATGGCTGCTACAAACAAACATCTTACCTTGTAAATCACATATAGCCTCTTTGTCACAGCGAAGATGAGATAGATGTTGTTTTCTGCCAGCTTTTCTCCCAGGAGTGCAAGAGATGGATAATCCTAAAAATCAAATGGATCTCTGAGTTGGCAAAAAATACCGACACCCTTCCCCACTGAATCTGTGGAGTCAGCAAAATTCCTGTCAAGAACTCTGAAGAGGAGGATCTCGTGACCCTGCATATCCCTTGTTTAATCTCTCTCTGGAGTCCCTGGTCTTTCATTTCTCCCTAACATAAACCCAGTCATTAGGAAGCATGTTCTGGCAATGCTTTGTATTTGTACAGAACAGCATTTGGACATTCATCTTGAGAAGCCTGCACACTGTGAAGCCCTGTGCACCACTGACAATGAGCAGCTGAAACCTTCGTCGGCTAAAGGCAAATAAAATCCTTTCCAGGTCAGATACCCCCTCAGAAACGTCTAATTTGCATTAAAGGATGCCTTTTAACCGAAGAAAAAAAGTTTGCTCCTTTTTCTAGGTCGGTGCTCAGTAAACTGCAGTCAATTGCCGGGCCCCTTACAGTACACCAGGCCCACTCGCAGACTAGCACGGACAACGGAAAGGGACGTTTCCTACCATCTTTGTGGAGGCACTGTACTCGTTCTTTTCATTCAGGTGGCACTGCCCGTCGTGGGGCTGCACCAGTCCGCCCAGCCGGCCATCCAGAGCGAGGTGAGGAACGTCATCCGTGGCAAAGACCAGCAAGTGGAAAGCTTCCTTCCTCCAGCCAATCTTTTCCTGTGGGAGTGACAGCACAGGCAGGGTTACTTTTTTCTTGATGGCTGGTTTCCTGCACGCTCCAGCAGTCTCAGAAATTATCAGCACAAGCCGCGCAACGACTTTAACCAATGCATCATCCTGGGTAAGCTGGAGGAGGTTTGGAGTTCATAAGCATGCTACTGTTTGAAATACGACATGCATCCCTTACTTTTACGAGATTCAGGATGAGTAAGCAAAACTGAAAAGAATAATCAAGCAAAAACTGATCATAATCACTATCCAGAAAGGTTTTGTATTTATCCATGTGACACTTTTGTCATGCTTCTTAAAATGGATAAAAATAAAGGGATTTTCCAAAAAACATATGGACAGCTACAAGAAGATCATACAGACACCAAACTTGCCTCAAACAGGGGAAATCAGTCTGTAATGCAGACACTTTTATACACTGCAAACGCGCACACACAGAACTAGAGACAGTTGTTTTGTTTTTTTCCGTAAGGTGGGATGTTTCTAAATCTCAGACATGCTTACATAGGTTAGAAACTGAATGCTAAATACAGATTGTTTCAGAGTCCACTGCAATACATTTAAATTGTATTTGAAAAGGTAAGGGTGGAAAAGCAAATTGCTGCTTTTACATACTTAGCTGTGGAAGGGTTAAATATATTTTTTATTAAGCAATGGCTTTTATACATATTTCTCTGATAAAAATGTCTAATACAAGTTTCTCTGTCAGCAATTTCTGTGCTTATCACACTTACAAAAAAAACAGATGTTCCACTGCATGTAACTAAGTGTTCTGGTATATTGTACTCAGATATTATCACTAGTTCTGCTGATGTCTGACTCCCTTAATGGCCACTGACTAGTATAGTTTATTGTAGTTATAAAATCACACTTAACCTTTAAAAAACAAAACAAATTCCAGCTTGCCCATAGTCGATAATATATCAAGCTTTTTTTAACGTCAAGTGCTTGTACTGTAAAAAAAACTTTTGTTCAAAATAATATTTACCCAATTGTATCTGTCATGTCTCTTGTGCAAAAATCAGCCATAACAATTAAAGTTTGCCTTGTCAGTTGGCAAATGAATCATTTTGATCAAAACTGACTGATTAGCAAACTGCATCCTGTTATCAGAGCATGTGACATTGTGATCTGTCTTGTTCAGTTTCAGTTTGCTTTGAAGGAAAACTGAAACTTCAGCTACTTTGCTAAAAAACTGAAATTTGCCAGGACCAAATTTGTCTGCCTGTTTCCGATATAATTCACTTAGTTCACCGTGTTTTTTTTTCCCCAATGTCACTATGCCGTGGGGTTGCACTCGGAGAATCGGAGGCTGGGTCACCTTGCACACAGCAGCCTGCAGAATGGCATCGAAGCCTCCCTCCGGCGCGTCGCGGTTCCGAGAAACCACCTGTTTCTTGACCTCCTCGTTGAACCTGTTCACTTTGTCGGTCAGGGAGAGGAGGTGGCGGAAACCGAAGGAAGGAACACAGTTCGGAAACAGCTTGTACCTGTCAAGAGACCAGAACAAAGCCCATAGGTGCCTCTTGCATTCACCATTTCGTTTCATACATCGGTGTTTCCTTGTACTACATTCAGGCCTCCCTGACATCCAGAACATCACTTATATAATACAACATTACGCATCTCAGAAAGCGGATAAAGGCTCCCAAACCATGCTGAGTGAACCAGCTGTCTGCTCCACTATTACTATCACTCATTGGCACTGGTAATCATTACACTCTCAAGCACAGGGACAAGGGCATAACCTATTTGAGCAACGAGGCGTGACAAGAGCAGGTTAGCACAGAATCATTTCACCTCCAGGGCAAGTCTGCTGAAGGACTCCTTTTCATATCTTTCAATTCAGTTATTTGACCCTCCTATTCTTGCATATTTTACCCAAGGGAAAATTTAAAAGTTCAGGGTGTAAAAGACAGTCATGTTCAAGACTTTTTATAAACCTCTGATTCCTCTGTACCCTCCTCACAGAAAATCAGAAAATAAGTGAAGAGGGCAGCACTGACAACGTAATTACCATGAAGAATCTGCAACCTTCTAAAAAGCAAAATAAATCAAATAATACTGTCATCTAATACAACAGATATGGATTTAAGCAATGCATATCTTTTAAACATGTTCAAACAAAAATGCTTTGAAGCGTAGCTTGTGTGGTTATTTTAAACAACTACTATTCTGATCTGATACAATAAATTATAATGAAACTTGTTAACCCACAAGTTTAATTTTAACTTTAATGTTAAAACTGTGTTTAATTTACACTTTTAACTTAGAAAACTCATAATAAAAGGTCTGCATTGATACATTATCGTGAAAGCAATCTACCTGGAAATACAGACAAATGTCAGGTCAGTTTTAATTTAATCAAGTTTTAATTATATTATTTCATTAATCCTGAGTGATGTGAACAAGAGACTAAGAAATTTGCTCAAAAATAAACCCCATTTTATATAAACCAAACGCTTTAGTCTTACAGCACCAGGTACTTTTTTTACACAAAGAGTTACAGGGATGTGCTGACTCAGTCATCTGATGCCCCATGCTCTTTCAAGAAACCATGCTGATAAACAAATATTCAGGAGGCGGACGAATTTCCAATTTCACCCCCTTCCATTCTCCTACACAAATCTCTCCTCTTAGCCCCACTTCGTACTTCTTTCTACCTCCCTTCCCTCCACTCATCTTCACCCTTGCAACAGCTCCCTGGCTCATTCCTCATGAAGAGAGGGGGGTTCTGTCAGTCTTGTCCTCACTGGGGGGCTGCTGTTCTCTCAGCCAGACCAGAGCTACACCAAATACTCCTTCAACATGTTTCATCATTAGATGGGATTAATTAGGATTTGGCAGAACAACCTGAACAGCTGGATGAAATCCTCAGATCAATTAGTGAAACACAAAGAACCAAATCAGGCTAAATGGGCTGAATGGCTCCATCTTTTTTGCAATTTTATTTTTTGATGCAACACTCCCAATTCCACAGTGTTAACATATCCCACTATTCATACTGAAACACAAGCTCTAAAACAGAACAATGCAGAAGTTCTCAGGCCTCACATTTTGTACTTTTTTTCTTTTCTAAAGGAGGAAACTGAAAAGAGGACGTTTTGAAATGTCTTGTTTCTAAAGGAACGAAAGTACAAAAACAGCAGCTTCTACTTTAACGACGCATCGCCAATGAGGGAGAACCACCTTCTCCATTCAGAAGAGTCAGAACCTCAGAAACAATCACTTGAAAACAACAAGACTGCAGTGTGAATCTTCTACAGCTCTTACATAAGCACAAAACTAGAATGTTGAAAACAAAACAAGGTCTCAAGCTATCAGAAAGACTGTCTTATTTATAGATTTGGCTTTATACTTCTATCCAAATCAACTTAAATACCTAAAACGTATAAATGAGACCAAGCTTAACTGGACCAATCTGAGTGAACTACCTCACTCGGAGTTGTTTTATTTACAGTCTCCCTGTTGTGATCCCAGACAACTGCCCTGATTAACTCTGAGCTCCACGGCCAGGAAGCTATGTGTTTCACTGGTTAAAGCAGTGACTCGCTTACCCATTGCATGGGTTGTCCTGGTATTTGGGCGCTGTGTAGGAGAAGGGAGAAATATTTTTATCTACAAAAGATCCAAATCCCAGGCGAAAGTTGCTGGTGAGCTTTTTCATCTCCTCTGCCAGTTTGGTCCCCAGGTTGCGGATGTTGTCCAAGTCGTCCTTCATGGAGAGAGAGAGGTCCATCAAGTAGTACAAGTCCACTGGGTAGTCCTCCACCTGACGCACCTGCACCTCCAGGGACACCTGGTCACCTGCCAGAAGAGAAGGTGAAGACCTGCCCTCACACTCAGGCTTCCTAATCCAACACAAGGAATCCCCCATGCTTTTTTCCCACGGAGGCCTGTTCATTTTTTACTGACCTCTACCCCCACAGCCATGCCTTCTGTAATAATCAGTCACTAATGGCCCACATACAAAATATTCCACAGTTCATAAAGTATTATTGCTCTCCTAAGCTCACACTTCCGTTACTGAAAATGCTTTGTGAGGTCCATTAGGACTGGAACAAACCTGACCCTACAGCCGAGACCCTGGCTTTCTTCAAGAAACAGCTGGATGAGATCCTGGATTAACCACCCTCTTGTTTGTAAATTTATATGTTCATTAACGCTGAAGACCGATTTCGCTGAGATTTTTGCCAAGGGTGTCTCAGCACACCGCGTCTTTATTCTTCGTTTCAGTTTATCGTGAGTGACTGAGTCACTAATAGCAGCCTTTGAAAGCTGAAAAAGACACAGGCAGGCCCGGGCCCGGCGTCTTACCAGGCCGCAGGTTCAGGGCTATCTTCTGCGGCATTATCTGAATGACATCATACTGGGTGGGTCCGGAGCCTTTGGAACTTAAGGGCTTGTTCTGCAGGACCATCATGCTGCTCCTGGGACTCTCGATGAAGCCCCTCCCGCAGCCCCTCCCCAGCAGGTTCTGGCTGAAGTCGCAGCGGGACGCGACCGTCATCGCCCTCCCGAATTCCTGTCGAGAAAGACGACACCAGGAGGGTAGCAGCCCTGCGCCGACCGGGTGCTGTGATAAGAGACGCAACAGGGACAGTGACCAGGCCGACGGAGAGAGACTGGAAAGCTCATGGGGGGCCCTTGAGGAAAGTGCAGCACTGAGGCACAGCTCAACTGTGAATCACCCCCGTTCTCTTGAATCTCCACGTACAAGGATATTGTCTCTGCAGACAAAAAGCCAGCGACACTTTGTGTTTATTTTTTTTGTCATGATAGCACTGGGACCCTTTGAATGTTTTAATTGAAAGTAAGCGCGTAGCAGTCACAACATGGAGAAATGCGTTTACCATTCTGCAACAGAAATAGTTCACAAACCCATTCCTGAAATTACTGGTATTTTCCAGTTTATTTGTACACTGTATTAAATAAAACAAAAGTATTTTTCGGCATAAATAGTTGCTTCCACCATTTCCTGAACTGCTTAATTGAGATTTCAGGTGCTTTATAAAGCAGAAACAAAAACGTTTGGGACAGTTAGCTATTAGCTTCTTCTTGCGGAAGAAGACTGGTGGGCACGAGAAAACTGATAAACTAACTGCACACAAGCCATCGCTCTTCGGGTGATGCCTACTACTTCAAATATGTGAAATAATTTATTTAAGGAATTTCACTAACTTAATACTGAGATATCTGTCAGCAGAGAACGACTACTGCTGCACAGGCTCTGCATAGTCCAGGCTCACAGGCGCACTTCACAAGTTAACATGAAAGGTACCCCGAACAACAGCAACAAGCAACAAGCAACAAGCAACAAGCAACAAGCAACAAGCAACAAGCAACAAGCAACAAGCAACAAGCAACAAGCAACAAGCGGGAAACACCAATACCACGTGTTTCACCGCCGCCTGCGGCTTCCGTAGAAGAGTTTCCTAGGGTGAATAAGTTGGGTCAAGATAATATCAAAACCACTACGTAAAACTGGAACACGGGTCTGAAATATCCACAAGAACACAGTACAGAAATATATTTAACTCGAGTAGCATTATTCAAAAATATACTTTCACGTCAGGGCATCGGTCTAAATGAACGTGAACAGGACCGATTCAAAACAAAATATCAAAATTGACAGAACTTTGCCAGTAATTAAACGCGTTTGCAGACTGACGTATGAGAAATATGTACAAGAAATATTTTCTCCAAGAAAAAAATGCCTAAAATAAATCTTTTGTTTCCTGTGCAACCGGTATTTTAAAACGCAGCTGAGTGATTGCTCCCTGAGTGAAGCTATCGGATTAATTTAATCACCGTGTATTATGGGCAGAGCTAAATGTGTATACTGTGTGTATGGTTGAATGGCGAGGACTACTGTTTGTTTTAAAGGTACATTTGTTTGAAGTCGAGTGTTATGTTTTTTTTTTTTGTAGTTCTAATGGTGACACCAAAGACAAATTGTCACCCTCTTGGATCAACAATAAAGTGAAATAACTTGGCAACATTTTTTTTGCACTACGTGTAAGAGAGATTTACATAGATACCTCCTGAGCGCACCAGGCACAGCTAGGATGGATGAGCAGGCATTCTTCACAGGAGGTAGCGCTTCCTCCGGCGCAAATATTGAGACCTTCCATAGAAATGAGAAAAGCGGTTATCTAACACATACTGTATAAAAATACACAGCACTTTCTCGCGACCACAGTCGAGTCTCCTTGTACCCCGTCCCGTTTCGACACCCAATAGCGCACATCACCAAGAACGGCCTTAGAGCCTTAGTTAAACGAGGGGGTGATGTTAATACCAGCTAATAAATAACGATATAAAAAAAAAACAGAAAAGCGCAGGTGCAAAAAGAAAAACAAGGTTTCGACCAGCGATAAAATAATTTTAGTGAAAGTCTGTATAAAGCGTTTAAGTATGACAAAAGAGTAAGCTAAGAGTAACAGCCAAACCCCTAACAATACATGCAACAAAGTAATTAAAGGATGTTATTTCCTCTCGAAGAAAATTGAATTCGTTCCAGCACACAGGAAAACAAATTGCCTACACAAACACGACACACAGTCACCAAAAATTGCATTAAAAAAACTCTTACCTTTAACTCCGCCGATCAGAACTTCCAAAACCAAACAGCTAATTACAGAGTAAATTAAGAGCCTTCTCCTCAACATGATTTCTTAGGATTGTGTAAACTGAAGTTATCCAAACCCTGCAGCTGCGAAGTGCTGGCTAGCGCAGACCTCCAACTCGTCAAAATGTCCTCATCAAATCCACATTCTGCAGATTAGCTTTCAAAAAGGGGGAATAAGTCCACTTTGTCGGAGTTCGCCTCTGCCCCGGCCAAGCGACGAGAAATCATAACGCCAACCTTTGTTTTGAAAACAAAGGTTACAAATCGTTGTGTCATCAAAGAAACAACCTCTGGGGCAGGAGCTGCCGGCTAAACAAGGTTTTCCACTCTCATTACGAATATCTCTCCGCTCCAAACACTAGTGTTGGTTCTCCTTAAAAGCGCACAACGCGCCTCCAGTTCCGATATTTTTTCTCCATGTTTCGTTTCTTCTGTACTAAAAATAAACAGGCAGTATAATTCCCCTAGTTGTGATATTATTATTGTTGTTTTCTAAAAGTGGGATACATCCCCCGCTTCTCTCTTTTTTCCTCTCCTGGAAGTTTTCTACGAAAAAGCGCACTGTCGGTGTATCCAAAATCTCCGCCCATCAGAGGCTGGGGGCTGGGGCTGCGGTTAACCCTATCTTCGAGAGCACACTTCAGAAACCTCAGAAGCACGCATTCGCATTTCTAGCGTTCCCCTTGCGCTACAACTGGTTTCGGTGACGGGGTTTTTTTACGTTTAAAAAAATCATACACTCTTTCTGCTTAAAGGCGGACTCGCAAACTGTAATTTATTTTCACTCGAAATAGCTGCACCTAAGTACGGATATCATTACTTATTTAGACAAATACCAGGGTCGTTGTTTCTCGTTTGTTTGGACTTCTTTGTTCTGATGTATATCGTTTTTTTTTTTAGGTTTAAGCTTATTTCGGACATTGTAGCTCGTTTCGTTCTACTTAAATCCGGATTTTGTCGATAAATAGAAATGTTTCTTTAAAAAGCGGCACCTCCGGCAGTCAGGTGACTCGTGTTAATTGGGTTACCACCTGTTCAATTCCGTACACACTTGCCTGCGTGTTGAGTTATGTACATTGTAATCACAGCGCTTGCGAGTTTGTGAATGAGCTGGATTAGGGACAGCAAGGATGTTAATCATAAACAAGTCTGACAATATTTTTCGGTTATAAAATGCGTTTGAAATCCTTCAGACCAGAGCTGTACAGAGCCTTTTAGAAAAGCAGTATATAGAATTCAATTTAAATAATTTAAATTTTATGTTACGTTTTCTTCAGAATTCAGTAAAACCTTAAAAACAATGTACAGGCAATACGCTCGTTACGTGAATATTAATATCAAGCGAACCTTCTTGTTTTGGCATCAAATTTGCTTTTGAAGCCCGAGGGTATGAAAAGCCCTGTATTGTATTTTAGAAAATTAAACAAAGAGAAAAATGCTGAAATAGTAGAAATATTTAAAAACAAAAAAATGAATTCAAGATGATATTTTAAGATGTCCATTTTACCAGCGGAAAGTCCAGAGTTGTCTGCTGAGTTGGCAAGACTCATCTCTCCTGAATACTTGGATGTCAGCGCCGCCTAGTGGGATAGAAGAGTATGAAATTAAAAACTTGAATTTTCCTGGCGGGCTGTGCAGTGTCCCTCCTAACACTTCAGCTGGCGGCCTGTGCAGTGTGCCTCACCCTGCCTGTGATGGGGGCTGATTAAATTGCGCTCAGCACGTTGCTGGCGGGGTCAGTCCTGGTTTTGATCCTGTTTGGGCCTAGGGTGTTGGCCTGATTTTCCAACTCATTCCCTACCCGCTCGAACTTCAAGACTGACTACAGTGTACAGACAGTACAGGCAGAAACAGTCACCATTTCATCTTGCAGAGCTGTGGTTTCCACCGGGAGTATTCAGGGACACCTGTAAGCTTCTCAACGTGTTCAGGTGATCCCCAGAAAGGAGGGTGAAATGTTAGCAGTGTGCAAAACCAACAACCAGCTTTCCTTCATGACTTCATACAGTAGACTGACTGACCTGTCACCCTGGTTTGTTGTTTATCATATTGTAACGCATATGGCCGACAGGTACTGTGTAAGAGCCGGCTTACCAGTAATAGCAGGACCACAGCCCCTGGGCTGTAGAGAGATCTCTCTCTTTGGCTCACCGGGCTGGGTCCCTGTTGAGTGACGCAGGAGTCCTGGGTTCGAGCCCCTGACGGTGCAGGGCCAACCTGATACGCCAAGGGCACCCGCCTGAACCCCGTTGTGTTACAATATCTTTTCAAGCAGCATCACTTTTCTTTAATAGCCATATATTATTGATGTGCTTTCAGTTGGCATTGTTGGTCCTTTAGCAGGGACAACTGGTTAAAAACAGGCTTCCCCACCAGCCAATGATCACCAGTCAGCGAGCGTGGGTGTTCACAGATGGTTGTGGTTCACCTGTTTCTGGAGCTCTGGACCACTACATGAAGTGTCAGAAAGACAGGCTGTGCTTTACAAGTCTGCTTCCTCTGTTAGCTAGGAACTGTCACGCAGTAGGCCAGGGGTCCTCCTGCCTGCTGCACATCAGGGATGATGTTTAAAATTGGCCAAACCTCTAGGGAACACCGGTTATTAAGATACTTGGCATGTGGATCGTCCAGACTCATGTTTTGCTGGATCAAAGTAGCGATGCCGTCCTAAAGATTGAATGAAGTGAAAGGGGTGATTTGAAATAGCCCTCCTCTGAAGAAAGTTTAAGATTACAATAATACGCGAGTCACCAGTCATGGTGGTGGACCAGTAGGTGGCGCCAGAAAGGCAACTGGGGACACTGTGCTGTAGAAGCTGACATCCTGTAGGTGAGACAGTAGACTGAGGTGCTGACTACTTTGTCATTATCAATCCCATGACCCCATACGCATTAATTCCAGTGTTCTGGCTAAATTCTGCCTCGAGCTGGAATGTTCTGGCCATCCTAGTAAATCCCTCCATTCAAGTGGAGTAATTTCTCACATCTCCATGTGTCCTGCTGTGCAGTAGGGCTGCCATGTGCCACTCAGATGGGTGCAGCTCTGGTGCACAAAACTGGTCTCCTTCTTATACCGTATATAAAGTGCTGGAGAACATCTGGGATGGAAAGAGCCAAACAAATGGAATTTCTCACATAGAAGAAATGACAAATGATAACAGGTGAATGGCCATCTCTTCACAGGGAGTGTTATAACAGATGACAAAATCCCCTAATTTTATTAACACTTTCACTTCTGACCTACTGTAAATAACAAATGTGGAATATATTTATAATTATTGAAATCATTAAAATATAGATGCTGTGAGATAGATATTATTTTTATTTATATCATTTTATGAAAGTAGTTTAGTATTAACCTCAAACAAACATCTCATTGTGAGAAGCTATTTTTTTACGGACGGTATCGATTATTGCAATAAACTAGAGCTAGATCAATAAAATAAATCAGTGGAGCATTTCTTTTCACTTTGCTCTCAGTTGTGCTGTGCTACCATAATAAAATAATACTCTTAGTACAAAGTTGCTGCCCAATCACTACATTTTGCACATACAGAAAACGTTTTTTGTTTTTCTTGTTATCTTGAATTACAGAACACTCACATGGAAACAAGAAAGAGAACAGATTGTAACACTTTACCCAATCATCTTTGAAAAAGCTTATACTTCAGGACTAATTTTTCATCTCAAGGTCTATGGCAGTAGTTTCATATAATGAATTATTCTAGCAGAATCACTCATATTCCATAACATGTTTCAATGAAGAATTCTCTTTTGTGATTCTGTTGAAGAAATCTAATCTTTGATCACAGCTGAGGTTTCCCTCTATGCAGAACAGCTGCTCTGTATCCTCTATGGCCATAACCATTCCCTGCAGCTCCCCTCGTTGATGTCCTGTTGTAGGGGTCACAGTCATTGGCGCTGCTGTTGTAGGGGTCACGGTCGTTGGACCTGCCGTTGTAGGGCTTACAGTCGTTGGCACTGCTGTTGTAGGGGTTACAGACATTGGCGCTGCTGTTGTAGGGCTTACAGTCGTTGGCACTGCTGTTGTAGGGGTTACAGTCGTTGGCGCTGCTGTTGTAGGGGTCACGGTCGTTGGCACTGCTGTTGTAGGGGTTGCCAGCAGGCTGAAAAGGAAGATATTTTTGTTAATCAAAAGAAACATCAGCCTGGAAGTGGTGTGCATCTGCTTCAAG